AATTTACTTATAATTATTTGTTTCTTCTACAACAATAGTTGCAAGTTTCACAGTTAACTTGTTACTTATAAGATATAATATTATCTGGTTTTACATATTTTCAAACAGCTCATGTGTAGTAAAGTGTATTAGTATACAAGTAATTTGTCATACATATTTCATACAGTCAAAGGGATTTACAAAGTATAAATCCCAAGCATTTTATAGACCCTTAGTTGGATATATTAGTCTAAATATTAAATTAATAGCTTAAGCACAAAGAAAATGAAAATAACAAAACCACAAGTAAAAATCAACAAAAAGAGAAAACAAATACGTAGAAAAACTTAAATTTAATGAAATGACTAATTAAGAATAAACGTAAATACAAAAAACAACTCATTTAATAATAAATAAATTACCAACAAAAAAGTGGCATCCCAATACCAAATTCTTAACACTAGGAAAATTATCATTTTATCAATACAAAACAGCTAAATTTTATATTTAAGTAATATCAGTGAAAATTAAAATCACATCTTACTCGTATGCAATGAAACAAGTGCAAAAGTTATACACTAAAAAGTGTTTTATGTACTGAGCAATAACTTGAGATAAAATATACACAGAATAAAAAGTTTTACATTCAGGTGAAACTTACATATTGCTATTCACAAAGATTATGACTTCTTGAAAGTCAAATAAAAGAAAATTTACCTTTACAATGTTACACGAATATGCCTTTCCATGAAAAATAGAAATTCACTTGCGAGTTGCATCTTTTCAGATCATGAATAGCTTACTGATAGCGATACAAGTAACGGCTTTCCTTACTATTAGTTTGATGATCTGAGCTCCTGAAGGTGTTCCAACTTTATAAAAATCAAACTCCTAAAATTTAGGCATGTGCGACTAAAGTTTGAAGCTATTCACACAGTCAGAGACTATGTTACTGTTCTCAGTCCCACAGCCCCAGTGACACTAGCAACCTTTACGCTGTTCCCATGTCGCAAGCTTTAACATCCTCTTAATACATCCCCGAAAAAATAAAAAAAAAGGCACTTGATAACTGACATTTGATAGGTTCTCAACCCCAGCTGTATAAACGGTCACTAATAAAGTACAAAAACAAAGAGTTTTATTCACTGGAAATGTGTTACACACAACGTACATTGTGATTCGTAAACAAACTCAATTGTTAAAAATCAATGTTCCATGAATTTAGCAATTTTTAACTAATTATGCATATATATTATTGATATATAATTATTCAAGTTGTGTTATATATTATATAAGAAAATTAACTAATATCACAATAAGTTTTTTAACCTCCAGGTTCGTGGGATTTAGTAAAAACAAAAATATATGCAGGATATTCATACATAAATCATAACAGTTTTACGCTGTATTTCAATTTCAAAGGTGCGCAACAGTCCATTATATCGTAGAGTTTGAGAAACGCTGCTTTACACAACCCTTTAATTACCTCAGAGTATAGTTATCAAACTAAAATATATGTTGCAACGCCCTCTCTGAACGGCTTACGTAGTATCTTGTAATAAAATACATTTTATATTTCTTAAAACTAATCGCCTTTCGTGTGATTCTAGTCATATTGCACCGTATAAAAATTAGTTTTAGGTTCATATGGACATGTACGTATAATGTTCAAAATAATGTAAGAATAAATTATAACTTTCTTTTTCGTTTTAATAATGATAATATTACAATAATTTTCTGATTTACTACATTTCTTTGAAATAATTCTTATAGAATACTTACCCCCTCGGTATCTAAGTGGTAAGCTTGAAGGCTTATAACGCTAAAAATTGATCATCGAACAGATAAACCACTATGAAGCTTTGTGGCTAAAAACAACAACAAACAAACAAACAAACACAGGACTCGTAGGCAGTTGTGTTATTAATTTCAGCAAGTATATTTATCCCACTAACATATTAATTGTGCTAATCACGTTGAGGCGTATGGATGTGAACTTCAAACTGTAATAGAATGAAGCACATATTATTGAGTACAAATTACAAGCCTATATAGTAATGTTACAATCTCCAGTTAAACTTTGGTTTTGATTTTTCGTTTCTCGAATCGTTACGTGTAATTTTACAACCAACAAATATATTTCAAACTCTATTCAAATATTGATACAAGGCTTCTAAACCGTAATATTTATTTCCTCTTTTCAGAATTACGTGTAAAGCTACCTGCCCATAATCGTCCCTAATTTTGAACTGGTGGATTAGAGTGAAGGTAGCTAGACAACAGTACCGTTGCCGGCTGTTTGACTAGTTTTGTCTGGTCGGATAGTGGGATTTCACCATTGCTCTTATACCCACGGTCCTAAGTGCAAAACGCCTTTTTTTGCGGCAATGCAAGCCTTGAATCCTCGGCTTGTTAAGCCTGTCACACTAAGATGTACTTTCGTTTTATCCCCTAAACTCCAGAAAAGGGTTGGTCTTTTAAATCTCGACGTTTTGTTGACCTCATTAATTTTAAGCTACGCTGTGGAAAACCTGGTGTATTTAATCTATTTGTAAAAATACAAAGGATTACGTAGATATTAATTAACTATTAGGATTCCTTAATGTTAAGAAAAACAAAACCACTTCAATTTTTTAGGGAAAATTTCTCAAATATTTAAAATAAAAGTTATATTTTAGAGCATATTATAATCAATATTTGTTTTCTTCATCATTAGTATAATTTTACATCTTGGAAGAAACTATAATAATTTAAATAATGATAATAATTATGTGCAAGTAATGATTAAGATATTGTGTTTACATTTATCATTTCGAACTTGAATGGTTTCAAAAATCCTTAACACTTATATGTGTTTATGTAGTCATTAGGTAAAAAAAGGAGGACGAAAGGCGTAAGACTTTCGAAACGTAGTCCTCTACACTTGTGTCTCTAAAACAGGCAGTTGCCGTCCATTCTAAAAAGTTTCATCATGAATACTCTGCCTAAACAATCTATCAAAGAAGGAGGGAAAAAGGTTTAATTTGAGATGGAAACATAAAGTGCCGGTGCTTTTTCATTACTAATTACAATCATAATAATTTATTTTTATGTTTATAACTTGTATTTATTTTGTCATTCTGATTAAACGAGAGAAATAAACCGAATTATAGGATCATGTCTACAAAAATACTGACATAAGCTTTCAAAACATCATTCCCTTATCAGTAACTACTTTTCTACTATATTGTAATATATACAAAACATTGTTTGAGTGTACAAATTACGAGAACATTTGACATGATTCACTTGAACATCTCTATTCGTTACCTGTTGAATTACTGAATTATTCATATTCATTATGATTTGGTAAACAAGTTGAATCAAAGCAAAATTCTATATATAATTTACTTCTAACAAAGATTTAAGTGTTACAGGCTTGAGTTTAAAGTGCCAAAAGTGAAATTATGAAACACGTAGGCCTAAAATCTGTGATAAAAATCTTGTTAACTGCACACGTCTTTTACCCAAATTCTCGTTAAACTGTTCATTGTGGGTTCAAAATCAGGGGCATGTAAAAATAATATTTCCGACCTTTCGTTTGTCTTCCATAAGTCACTGCCCAAGAAGCCATTTGTTTAATATCAGAACTATTCAGTTGGATCGGACGATGAGAAACAAAAGATTATCCATAACGTTGGATATATACATATATTATAACATTTTGAAAGTTAACTTTCAAAAGGTTAAAACTTTTTTTTTTTACTTACATGACTAGGCCAATATTGTTATCATAATCATTACGCTTGCTGTAGTAAGATGCTAATGGAATTCAGGTATATTTGTTTTACAACAAAAGTTTCACAAAAATCCACAATAAAATTCATAAAGTTAAGCCTTTTGATTTCATGACCAGGTCTGTTTTGTTCTCATAATCACACCGACTACATTTCCCAAAGATGTCTTCGTGTGCTCAGAGAAATGTTGTATTAAAAGTAAAATCAAAACAAATCTTAATATTAGTCAAAAAGTTGAGCAATGCAAGGTGTAAGATCATAAAAATATGTTTATGGTTGACTTATATGTGATACATGGCGATGTTCTTCGCACAACCACTGGTGACTGGAGCTTCTAACAATACATTAACACTAAAAACCAGGTTTTCTATACCCGTGGTGGGCAGAGCACAGATAGCCCAATATGTAGCTTTGTACTTAACAAAATATAGTTCTTTCTTTTCAATGTAATCTGTTACAATCGAACTTACACTTAATAATATCATTGTTTGTTTGTTTTATTATTCAAGTGATACCATAAAAAATTGTATATTGAATTAGTTCATACAATAGTAACTGAAAAATGTTACGAACAAAAACAGTATTAATGATTTTCACGGTTAAGTAAAGTATGTACAAAATTAGCTTCAGTTCAACCAAAGTAATTTTATAACATATTGTTGCGTCAGCGAGGTCACGTGACTAGTGTCACGCCACCCGTTTTCTAGAACTGTCCTGTTCCTTCGGGAGTGCTCTAGCATTTACTAGATTGGGGGTAGGCCTGGTATATATAGGATGGTCACAACGTGACGGGGGAATGTGTGTAGGTAGTGAGTAATTGATCTGCAGTCAGAGAGTATTGTTGAAGTTCGTTATAGCGTTTGTTTTAGCGCGAATATTGAAATCAAGTGTATCGTAAAGTTATATTCAGAAAGAATAAACCAGTTTTATTAAGTAAGGACTTGTGTTGCTAAAGTTTCGTCGGAACGAAGTTACGGAAAGTTAATTAACAAACGGAGACGTAACAATATCAACATCGCATAATATCTTATATGCTTATAGCGTTAAACGTACTTTTTATGGCCTTACACATGGTACCCATAGCAACCTTATTGATTGCATTCATGAAGTATACTTCAATAGCTGTTACCCGATACTGAACCACCATCTATGATCTGTTAACCTCAACTCTCTCTTGACATCACAAAATAAGTCATCACAAGCAAACTAAGAGTTTTCAGCTAAAATTATTTTAGTTTCAACCAGGATTAATATACGTGTTGCCCACTAAAGCAACTACAATGCACATTCAGACTAACAAACTACTGGAATCACATGAAAATAAATACAGATAAAATCCAACGATATTCATCACAACCTCATTCTTATTCTGTGTGATTAAGACATAACTTCCTCACTAAACGTGTACGTGTATTGTACAGGTGTAATACATGTGTGTATAGGCTACTTAAACTTCACACTACGTACACGCATGTGATCTCGTGGCCTCTCGTAGGATCATTCCACACAAAATTCCACCCAGGTGTTCAGAAAGCATATATTTTAGTGTTCTGATGTATTAAAATTATAGTGAGGATTTTCAGTCCAGTTAATTAAATGCTCTAGGCATTACATCTAATACAACACATACAACTCGTCGCATATGCCTTCAATTAAATGTTCTTGGCATTACATCTAATAACACATATAACTCGCCGCATATGCTGAACATAAAAACTTATGTAGAACTCTACGCGGAAATATGATAGTGTTTCTCCAGATACTTTCTAGACTGGCCTCAAACTATTTACAACTACGCTGTCCAACACAAGGAGTCCCCCAGTGGCACAGATGTATGTCTGCGGATTTACAACGCTAGAAACCGGGTTTAGATACCCGCGGTGGGCAGAGCACAGATAGCCCATTGTGTAGCTATGTGCTTAACTTCAAAAACAGAAATTCATTAGTTCTACAGTTTTAGCTTCTATACTTAACTTCCATGACATTGTTTTTTGCTGTTTCTAGAGCTGGATAGTGTTACTATAGCAATTAACGTACTGATATAAGAAAAAGAATCTGCTATTTTATTATTATCAACTTTATAATTTTCATTTACATATTGTTACGTCTCCGTTTTTTAATTGATTTTCCGTAACTTCGTACCGACGAAACTTAAGCGACACAAGCCTTTG